ATATAATGAGAGAGCTATATTATACAGCAAATAAGCCCTTTTACTCCCTTTGTTAATCACTGATACCTTACTGCATAACATGTTGGGGCAGCGCGTCCAAAACATATTTAATACAGATCGAGAAAGTACAGCGTGCAGTTTTAAAGGCAATGTTAGGAAAACCATTCAGATACCCTATTGCAAGCGTATACGAAGATGCCGGAGTACTTATTGTACGTCAAATATTTGTGCTAAATACATCCTTAGAACTACATGTATGCGTATTATCTTCCCATTATCATAACTACTGATAAATCAAAGGATATACACTAACTATCCATACCATCTGTCAATACCAAATTTGCGCAACGTTTGGACGACTTTATTTAAAAATAAATTTATAATAAGGTCGTAAAACACTAATCTCAGAAACAAAAACTATATCTTTGCGAAATTAATTATATTAAAGTGGTTGGTTACTCTATCAATAGTCTGGTCAACAAGTTGAAAAACATGAAAAATAGACATAAAGCTCGTAAAAATATCAGCAATACCTCATGTGATTCGGAATAGCCTCTAGAAAAACATTATCTAAGGGCTTAGAAAAAAAGGCTTGCTGTTTTGTGTGTACGTTAATACAGTCTGTCTGATGAGGTGTATGAAATAACTCCTAATGAACCTTGGTATCAGGTTTCCTCGAAACAGTGAGAAATTGTTTTAATTTTTTTTTCATAATTCTTCACTCCATCTAGTGTGGCCCCCAACACTGCGCACACCGTGTAGTTGCCGTGTGGGAATATCCACAACCCCCGTCATCTTGAGGGTGTCGTAAGAGACCACAGCAGGAACTGAACCAATAGATGGGCAGCAGCTTCTTCCAGCCCTACAAAAATAAAAATGGAAATTAACGTTGTCAACCCGCTTAACAAGTGTGGCAACTATGGCATATATCTCCTCTAACAAAGTACTAGTAATTAGTACTACGAAGTACTGCTGTACTCTCCTCTAAAAAATTAAAAAAACAGCCTATTTTCAATAGAGAAGATGGATGGGTACTGCCATCTGCGTGGGATCTTATAATTAACAAAATTAAACCCAAGCATACCACTGCAAAACTTCAAGATACTGTAAGCTCGTTTTGCGTAGATCGGACCGAAAAATTAATATTAAAAAAAACTGGAGGTAGCCGGGCTAACTATGACATTGGGACGTCAAACATATCAGTCCCCCGTGACCATGGGTGCTGTAAAGCACCCGAAACGTCGGGAATTAAAAAATAAAAATACGTAAAAGTAGTTAATTAAACGCGATAAAATCCGTAAATTTAGTTTTATTCAATGTGTAGTGTTCGCGTAAATTTAAGAAATCATTATGTGATGGTAATGATTATTTTTTGTTACTCTATCAAAGACACAAAAATAAAAAATAGGTTTAAATAGCCCAAAGGTTCCGACGAGTTAGTTGAAGGCGTATTATATTTTCCTTTCATTCAGTGAGGAAAAGCAGGCAGCGTTCTTGGCACGATATGACTGGGAGAAGTACTGTGATCATTTAAGTTTTTAGTTTTAGTTTTTTTATTATACTTTTTTAAAATTGTATACAGGATTTGCTTTATTATTGTGTAAGCGAGACAGACAAATGTGATAAAGTGAGATAGAGAGTGACGCTGTCCAAAGTGCAATAGAGTGGGATAGACTGACATTTGCAGAAAACAACCAAAAAATGTTTCTACCAAAAAAAGAGATGATAACCCCCCTAAAAAAAAAAACCTTTCTTTCTCCCAAACCCACCCTTTTTAGTTTTAAGAGAAAAAAATAAATTTATTACAATATATCCTATAATATTTCATTATTGGTAAATTTTGCCATAATACGACAATAAGGCATCGTTATCATACTTTGATATTTTGTTGTTCGAGTTTTTTATGTTCTAAATTGTTGATGATCGTGATTTTTTTATTGAAAGAAGAGAAAAACGGACCATTTTTTAAACATTTTACCTAAGGTAGTTTAGTTCATTTTTTTCAAATATAAGGCGTCAAATTTACGTGTTAAACATTTTTAACCACGACTTAATTAAACTTTTTTTTGTACTAAACTAAACACAATATTAACTACACACTAAATAAACACAATATTAACTACTGGATTCGCAACTGCAATCAATAGCATAGTTATTGAGAATTACATTAAAACACTGAAAAATTTAAAAATTTGTGAACACAATAGTAAATATTCGATCTAGGCTGTTGATTTATAACATTTTTAAAAGTATACCTATTATCAATTAACTAAGTAACTAGCTTATCGCCCCGTAAACGCTTGAGGTTGAGTTTCGGGACTGTGACTACAATAAATTGAAATATGTACCGCCTGTGTACATATTTCAATTTATTGTATTATTCGTGTAAATGTTTTATAATCTCATTCACTAAATACTGTATCAAACGTCTCCTAACAAGATGGGAGTGATTTAGAGCAAGACAGGAGACTGATGTCAACGATGCATGTGTTTTCGGCAATCTGTAACAAACGCTCATTGTACTGGAGCACGCTCCAATGCTTAAATCGATGAGATTTATCCTCGTTTTTGTGTCTACTATTGTGCATTGTTACCAATGGGCCAATGGCTAATGGAAAATAAATGTTTGCGCTTTACAACACTTAGTTTGTTTCAATAGTCATCTCTCACAAACTTTCATAATATATTTTTTGTGCTACACCGAACATCAAACGACATTAAAGGGCCATACTGCAGGTATATTATAGTTGTAGCACGAATGAGTCTGCTCGACCGGGGAAGGACCACGCTGTCACAGAATATCAATTATAATAATCAAAAATAAAATATCAGCTTAATGCTGCTGTGTTACGTATGGTGAGGGTAGAGAACCAGAGACAGCTTTTTACTGAATAGATGAGATGTGATGACTCGTTTGTCACCCTTATTCTATAAAAAACACACTACCAGATACTTACACCTATTAGTAATGGAGATTCGTTGGCATACCTGAACACTTAAAAGGAATGCTCCCCTACGAGTAAAAAGGGTCTGCTTTCCGTCACGAAAGACACCAGCACTGTGACGCTTCTTCACATTGGTATTCTGTGCGAGCGTTGTCCTTCCGCGGTCAAACCGAGCAAAATTTAGCTTAGCGGAGCTTCCTTATCGTGCATTAAAAAAAAACTTACGAAAGGTTTAAATAGCGAGGGTATTAATTGTAATAAACAATGGCTTACGTCTTCGTTTATACAAACTTTGATTCGTTTAGCGGTTTTTTTAATAAAACTGAAGTGATGGTTACTAACATCTCTGACATTACCCAAGCGAAGCGTTATCTGGACTTTTTTTTATAATAAAGTTGACAAACGTGTACATAGTTCACCTGATGGTAAGTGGATGGTGTGCCTCATAGACATCTACATTCGACCCTTGAGTAGTAAGATGTAGACTAGTAGAAGAGTTTTCCGGTTCTCCACACTCACACCATACGAAACACTGCAGCTTTATTCTGCTATTTTAAGCTGGTATTCTATTAGAGCGTGGTCCTAGCTCGGTCGAGCGACGGTCGTGATGCAGCTATCTTCAATAACCTATTTTTTTGCGGTAATAGACTAGAAGTTTTGGATTTACTATAATTTTGTTGTTGTATTGTATTTTTCTCTAAATCATTCTAAATCGAAATCATTATTTTATATGTTTAGTAGTGAAGAGATATTAAATCTTTACATTTTGTTCAGTATAGTAGAAAACGCCCTAATTGAAGTTAAAGTTACATCTTATATACGTACCACTGTTGGGCACAGGACTCCTCTCATTTCTGATAGGTTTTTAGGGCAAGGAATTCTCCGCTCTGCCCAGTGCATATTAGTGAACTTCACATGTCTTCGAAATATATGTCTACGAAATATTTTAAGCTATTGCATAGCTTCTATCGCGGGCCTTGAGCGCGGGGACCGAATCCAGAAATTCCGTAACGAAAAAAAACCTCACGCTCCCCACTCCGACGGGCACGGAGGTGTGGCGTTGAAAGCCGTGCATCGTCTAACGTCGTTTCAGTTCGGCAGACTTCGGCACTCGGCAGACTTCGGCACGGTGTTTGTGTGCGTGCGACTAGACGTATGCGTGTACACTAGCTGCTAACTCAATGATAAAAATTCCTCAATAACCTACATGTATTGTAAGATATTAAAAATATTTTAAACAATATTAACTTCTCATTTATTCAATAAGAGAAAAAAAATTGTTTTCTTATCGGTCACCACGCTCAAAAAGTGTAACTTGATTTAATATCAAAGACTTAACTGCATAAATAAAATAAATAAATAATTATAATTGCATAAGTTGATAAAAAATCCTATGCAATAGCTTTACCGCGGCAGTCACCGAGTGCCATACGTATTTTTTTTCTTGTTTCTCGGAAATGAAGATTACCCATGATGTTTTCCTTCGCTGCCGAGTACGTCGTAAATCAGCACTTAAAATCGCAATTAACAATTTCATTGGTACAGGCGGGGATTCAATCCGGGTTGCTCGCTTACTGTGAAATTTACAGTGAGTGCTTAGCCCCTGAGCTAGCACGGCTCTCGACTCGGCTAGAAAAAGCTGTAATTATGTGCAATTAAACTAATTTACTTGTTACTTTAAAATTTTTAATTACAAACCATTTACAATTTTTAAAACATGAAGTTATTCCCTATTTCGGAACTCTTTAAATATGCTTTCTTGACTACATTCACGAGTAAAGTTATCAGAAGTTATACGATCAGTCCTCGCTGATCGAAGTTGAGCTTCATTAGCATATGTATAGAGTTTATAATTGCAAATCATATGCATAATGAGCCAGATATATTAATGTTATGAGCATTTACAAGTACTTTGGGTGATAGCCCATCACATTGTCTCTGCGCTCCTCACAAAATGGTTGCGTTATTTTAGTCTCATTATTCTTTTGTATCACGATGTATCACACGTGAAGACACGCAAATAGTATCTGTGATAGGAAGTGTAAAGTTTTTAAAATGAGTTCGGTTAAAATTGTGCTTGTGCTTTTGGTGCTGTGTTGCGTCGATATGTTAGGATCAGCGGATGCACTCCAGCAGGATGCTGAGGGAGTTTGCGTCGTGAAAACGAGGTCAGTTTTTAAATATTTAAAAAAATATTATGAGAGGCTCTGTAAGAAATATTTTTGTGCAAATATGTTTTTATAGGATAGATGTGATTTTACTAAACCATCATTTATGATTTATATAATTTTTCTTTGGACTTTTTTTTGGAGATTTTTCAATTTAAAAACTTAAATTAATAAATAATTTTATTTAATATTTAATTATAATATATAATTAATATATTTAATATATCCATTAAAAATGGCAGACTGTAAAAAGGTAATTCGAACATGGTTACAAAATTTGTCATACGATGATACGGAGAAGTTGCTGATTGTTTTAAGTTAATTAATATCATAAGTAAATTAATAATAATATATTTTACCCAAATAATCCTTATTAGTTAGTACGTTATTCATTTTATATAACAAATAGAAAATATTTGTTAATGTATCTTTTAGCACATACACCTGATACAGGTTTATCCTAGTTCAGGTGCCTGTTATTGTAGACTATTTTTAAGTTAAGACTTATTGGAATAATTTGTACAGTTTATCAAAATAAGAAATAAAAAAAAATTAATTAAAATTAAAAAAAATTAAATTAAATTAAATTTCACCTAAATTTCGCTCATATTTTAGTAGTTTCTTCTGAGAAAATATAAATAGATATATAGTTTTAATAATCATCACCATCATCATCGTTACACACCTTCACAAGTCCACAGCTTTATAAAATTAAATAATTAAAATAGTAAAACAATTTAATTAGTGAAATAGTTTAATAATTTCTACTAATTATTTTTGTTGGCGTGTAGTGGCGGAGTAAGTCTTTGATTTGTTTTAACTAGATAGAGAAGATACTAATCTTCTTTTACTACTAGATTTTGCTTCGTCGTTTAAGTCTTCCAATAATCTACTAAGCCATAATTTTCTGTGATTGCCTTAAGAAGCATCAGGAGTTGGGAAGCAACGTCTTTATTCGTAACAACTTAGAATAATAAAAAGCTTCGTTTGCCACCCCGCCAAGCGTTTACAGGAGTTAAAAATTATCTAAATTTACATTGAATAAAAATCAGTAAGAGAAATGTCTGATGACGGAGGGTTTCCGGCCAAAACAACTGTAATTATTTTCTTATTTAAAAAGAACGTTATCTCGTTAACATTTATCAAAATTAAAAATATTAGATTTAGTGGAAAACTACAAATACGATTAATTTTCTGATGAAAAAAGCTAGTAATCGGGGAATAATAAATGTTTTGTTGCTCTCTTGTAATTAAAAAAAAATGAGGTTCGCCTTCTTGCGGCGTCAGCGACGAATTGTTTACAGGCCATGCAAGTGCGTGATCCGTGCGGGAGTCGAACCCGCGGACCCCAGCGCCACAACAAGTCAATTGTGAGACAATTCGTTGTATGTATGTGGATGTATAAATAGACTAACGTGTCGCGGAGATTTTTTTATAGAATATGGGTGATGAATGAGCTAACAGTCCATGTGGATTCTGTGGCCCTAAGATCACATTAAATTTTAAGCTATGCTAGCGTTATTAAAAAATATATGCTTTGTCATCTATAAAGGGGCTAAGACAGAATGCCTCGATACCAGTAAAAATTATCTCAGGTTCTCGTCATTCACTATAGCATTTTAGTGCTACTTTATGCTGATATATAATAATAATATATGATAATTTATACTGGATGACCTTTTTTAGCGTCTGGAAAAAAATAGGGTGTAACATATGAACGGAGTATGGCAATGATATTTTACAAAACATGAAAACAAAAAATTTGAATTAACGAGTTGTTGCCATGTACAAAACTCGGTGATTATCAAATTTTTTAAACCGGAATTTATACAAAAATTTGGCACACTATGACTATTAAACCAAAATACTCAAAGGTTGCACACATACACTAATGCTGTGGGGTTGTAATAGAAGTAGCTGAAAAATAATTAAAATTTTAATATTCAATACAGTGTGAAAACCGACTTCAAACCATAAAAAATTATTAAAAAATTATATCAATTTAAAATTTCAAAAAATTCTGCTTAAATATTAATAAAAAATTCAGTTTAATTCCAATATTCTTATAAAATAATTTTGTAGTGAAATTATTTTCAATTAGGAAATTATTTGTTTTTTTTTTTTAGTTTCTCTAAGTCATGCTTTTACTTTAAGTTATACTTATGAGTGGACTAAATAATATTGAATAGAACCCTAGAAGTAACCAATTTTATAGAAATAGAGTTATTGAAATCGGTTTATAATGGGCGAAGAGGTCACGTAACATACGTACAGTCGAATTGAAAACCTCTTCGATTTTTAAAGTTGGCTAAAACCACCCAAACAACAAGTAGAACTAATGATAATTTACCCTTTATTATTTGATTGGCCGATGAAAAGCTTGACAAAGTCATCTATGCAAACAAGGCTGTAGTTTTTAGTTATAAGAAAGTGATGGTCACTTTCTTATAACTCAAAAACTACATTAACCGGATGACCATGTTACTCTCACGTACTATATTGTTTGCATCGCATGAAATATATTCTTAGTTTGACGGCTGATAAGCTTGGTCTCGGTGCTGCAGACCGCGAGTTCAAGCCCCGCACCGAATGCGTGTTTGTTAAATAATTGTTTGGGGTTTAATTATTTGTCCATCACAGTCTATAAAAGCCCACTGCTGACTAAACGCCTGTCCCATAGATCGCATCATGGGGGGGGGGGGTTTGTCATTTATCGCAGGTTAAAAAGTTTTTTTATTTTCTAGGTGTTACTAGGCATATGTACTTGTGTCTTATACTTGTATACTTGTGACTGCTGACTACTTTCTGATTTGTCCCTGTCGCGTCGTACGACGACCACGGGACGATATGGGGTAGTGAACATTCTTCCACTACCATTACATGATTTGGAGGTTTTCCATATGCAATTTATGTATACATCGTCACGATTCAGGTGAAAACCCTACCTAGCCAGAATTGGGGTAGCGTTAAAAATATAATAAAGGTTGTAAATATATTATAAGGTATTTTATAAGTTAATTTTTAATTAAGGAAAGCAGGAGTTGCTTTGCGAAAGTTCGTTAATTTATCATGTGAATTCAATTAGCAACCGTGTTTTACGCGGATCTTACCTAATTAAATTAACATTAATCTTTCATTTACATTAATCTTTAATAAGAAATAGAAACTTTTTTATTTCATAGAGATTATAAAGAAAAATCATTTTGATTTGTAATGGCCAGTAGCGTAGAACGGAAATTTCATAGGTAAAGACCTAATATTATAGTAACTCTTTTTATATAATTTTTTTTAAATACTGATTTTAAAGTGGGCGGAAATCAAATTTTGTAAATTTTCTGAGATTTTGTTTCAAAAGCGTAAACATCACCCCAATAATGAATTATTGACAGTTAAGTAACTAGTAAACTGTCAACTATAACTTAATTTATAATTATCATGTTGTTCATTCTAACAATTTCAGTACCCGAAGAACCAGGGCGAAGACGTTCGCAGCGCAAATAAAGAAAATGTGCGGCAAGAGAAAATGCGTGGTGAGGAAGACTAAAGTAGAGGTGTGTATGGATTATTTTGCTTTTTTTACTCTATAGTTTCCTTGACTTGGCACATATTGTGTTATCCTTGCCTGGCTTACATTTGTGCAAAAGCAAATTTGGTTATCTCACTTATATCATAACGATAACGCCTTATCTTTGATTCCAATCTTATCGTATAAGCATAATAGCGTTACTTCGAGACAGCAATGCGTTCGAGTAATTCAGGTTAATTTTTTTATATTTTTACTACCATTATTAAAATCTAAAGGCGGAGGGGGGGGGGGAAGTGACTTTAATTCTCAAAAATATCACCCGACACCATGGTTCTTCTCATAGTTGTGCCTACACCTCTGGTAAAAAGGCGTAGGCATGCACAACCATTTCGATATTAATAATGGCAGTAAAAATATGAAAAAATTGAAAATTTGCTGTTGCTAAATACTTTAGACTATAAAATTACAAACACTATATCTCACACATAGCTTCATACCCTTAGAAATAAGAATATCTGCAGTAGAGAAAACGACGTAGCCCAACGGAGTAGTAAGCTGAAGTGGCAATGGCCTTGCTTTATAGCTCGAAGTACCGACAACCGATGGGAATGAGAAGTTCTCGAATGGCAGCCTCACACTGGTAGGCAGTGTAGTAGTGTAGGGCGGCCCTTCTACTAGATGGAGTGACGACTTGCTAAGACATGCAGAAGTCGGTGAATTTAGTTGACTCAGACTACTTTGTTGGGTTCCTTGGGGAAGACCCATGTAGCATAGGACAGGACTTGTGAAAGACTGTGATGATGAACACTATGGCATTACAAGTTCTGAATTAAAAATGGTAGAGATGAGTATAAATATATTTTATTTATTTATCAATTTTTAATACATAGTGGGATTTTTTTCTGCACAGTAGTTTGTCTGGATAGGTACCACTCTGCTATCTACATATTACTGCTGCTAAGGCAGAACATCGACGAGGCATTTCATCTTACTCCTGGGGTGACATCACATCCGCATTTTGATTCTTAATCGAGGATAGATGCAGATGTTTATGAACCACAACATCCATTTACCATCAGGTGGATTCCGTGATCGTTTGTTACCCGTATGCTATAAATAATATGTTTAGTGAATAGAAAATACGTTTAAGGAAATCATAAAATTTGGTCCTGGTAGGTCGTGGTAGAGTTATCATGAAATAACTAAAATATAATATCTCATTACCAGTAAAAGGGATTTCTTATTTTTTACACCCTTCACGAAACATAGCAGCATTAAGTTGCTATTTTACACTAGTATGCTGTGAGCGTGTGATCTTTTTCCGATCGAGCCGACCTATTCAGGGTACAACAACAAAATATATTACATTGTGAATATGAATCATTTTCGTCCATACATTGTTAATAGCTTGACTAAAGCGTCACCTATCGGATCCTAGCAGAGCTATAATTTATCGTTGTCCCGATAAAACAAAACATACCTATCTTGTGAATATGACCTCAATCGGTCAGGTCGTTCAGAAGTTATATGATCACTAAAAGGCGTACCTTTGATTATATATATGAAGATGTGCTAATGCCAGGTTTATTAAAGCATGTTAATTGGAGTGGAGGGAAGGGGAATTAGGGAGAGTTTAAGTGGAGACCAGTTATAAGATAAATTATGCACTCCATCGCCAGTATTTTACATCTGTTTTGTACGTGAGAGCCGTGGTAGCTGATGGGCTTAGCGCTCGCTGTAAATTTCACAGTACGCGAGCAACCCGGGTTCGATCTCCGACGGTATCAATGAAATAGTTAATTGCAATTTTAAGTGTTTATTTGACACCTGCACGAAGGTGAAGGAAAACATCGTGGGGAAACCTGCATGTCTGTGAAGTAAGAAAATAATATTTCGAAGACATGTGAAGTTCGTCAACACGTATTGTGGTAGCGCGGCGGACATTTCCTTGCCTTTAAATCCTGTCAGAAATGAGAGTGGGCCTGTGCCCAGCAGTGTGACGTATATAGGCTATGACTTTAACTTTTAACTTTTATGTAGAAGACGATATACCATGCCTTTCCCATAACTGCTTCTGACAACACCCACGGAACGAAATAGTGGTGATTAATTCTAATATGTTGCCATCTAAATATGTCGCACACAATTTTTATTAAAAAGACTTATTTAGCGTGATCAAACGTCGACAATTCTATTTCGGCAACGGCTCCAACCATTTGGTAGAAACTTTATGTATGACTATTGTTTAACTTTACAATTTTATCAAGATATAATATGTGTCATCCCTGAGGATAATTTTATGACAAAGACCAAAGCACGGTAATATTTATAGATAAAATTGCCGTGACCAAAGTCGTATCGCCCAGGTACTACTTATTGTAGTAATGCACGCTGAGAACGAAAGCACGAAGAGAGGCGGATGTGGGGATCTGAGAAGCTTATTATATTAGAACGTGTTTAGAATGAAAAAAAAGCAGAGTAAGCTACATAAAGTCTAAACCGGAACTGTATACATGAGATGAATTTAAATTGGTAATCAAACGCTCGAGACACTGCTTGTTTTTGTGTATAGTAATAATGCCTTTTGTTATATTTTTATTTTAAATATACGAGTGACAAACGAGCCAACAGTTCACCTGATGGTAGGTGGTGCAGCCTCGGGTTACCACGAATCGAAGACCAAAGATGCGTTGTAACCCTAGTGGTTTCAGTAATTACAATAAATATTTTAGCCTTTAAACTGGAACTATATTGGTTTTTAACTACAAAAAAAGAGGGAGATTCCAAATTGACTGTATATTTTTTGTACGTATGTTATATTACTCGAACTATTTGTCAATTATTGTAAACCGACTTTGGTGACTCTTTCTTTATTATATAGTCAGTACTTCAGGTTTGGTAATAAATAAATTTAGAGAAAAAATCTCTCTCTATCTATCTATCTATTTAGACGACATTGACATTGTGATATTACTTTGTGCACCCACAAGGATAGAAAACTTAAAATAATAAAATTATTTGACATTCTGAAGTCGGGACCTTATTTCTTCTATAATTTATTGTTTTATTACCGACTTTATTGAAGCAGAAACAGAAACTTTTTATTCATAATAGATTATAAGTAATACTAATTGAAAGCCACTTTTTTAATTTATCATACTGATTCAAAAAATACCTCTGTCCTCGGAATAACCAACAAGAAACACAGCGGGACTTTAAAATAAACAGCTTACAGTCATGTACGTTACAAATAACAACACAAAACAAATTACAAATAGCTTGGAAGCTATCTCCTTTCCCAGCGGTTATTATCATCCATACATTTCTTAATATTCTAACAACTTTTTTATACAAACATATTTTAATAAAGTTTTTGTACTTTGTACAGGTTAAATTTTGTATATTTTCTGGGATTTTCTTGTAAAAGCACATACAACTTTATATACACCATATATACCTTTGCCCCCAAGAATGTATTACTGACAAGATGGAGTCGAGTAAATGCATTTATTTTGCAATTATTTTATTCTTTACAGTTTTTTGAAGTCGGTCTTTGGTATTTTACTTTTCACGAAAAGTTATATTTGGTTACAAAATTCGATAAAACGAAAATAATTTAATTTACTCTATAATATATTAAATCTGCATATATTCTGTGAGCATGTGCTTAATACATTTATTCATTTATTGATAAAATATAAGCTTACAGTATATACAACCAAATCGCTTATATGTACACTTAATTTACAAAGTAAGATAAAATACACAAGAAAAAAATCACCAATTATTAAATTTCCATACACAATATAAATTACAGCCACAACAGTATAATGAGATCTATTTACTATATCATAAATTAAACTTATTTACCCAAACATATACTATTCTACTATCTTACAAAGTTGTTTAAGAATATTAATACATTTTTATACATTGCGTATAAAAATGTATTAATATTCTTAATACATCCCTATCCCTTTTTTAATTTCTTATAATTAGGCTAATTTTAAATGCGTCTTCCTTGCAGGTGTTCACTGTCACAAAAAACCAAACGGTTTGCTGCAATGGATATGGTTACAGAAGCGAAGATGATTCTTGCACCCCACTCTGCAGTACTGGTTGCAACGGAGGCCGATGCGTAGCCCCTGACGTGTGCCACTGCGACCCCCCAGCCACTTTAGACGAGGAGCACAAAAACGCATGCATCATGCCCACGTGTGCACCACCATGTGTGAACGGCGCATGCGTTGCCAACGACACTTGTCAATGTAACACCGGGTTCATCGAGTACAACTCCACACATTGCTACCATTGCGACCCTGGCTATGCGATCGATATGACCTTCAACTGCGCTCCAATTTGTGACCAACCGTGCGTCAATGGACACTGTATTGGACCAAACATTTGTGGATGCCCGTTTGGTTATAAGCTTAAGGATACATTCACATGTGAACCTATTTGTGATAGCCCTTGTATAAATTCCACATGCACTGCGCCAAATGTTTGTTCGTGTTTTCAAGGATATACGGATGTAAATAGTACTTGCGTTCCGCGATGTATTTCATGTGACAATGGACAATGTGTTGGACCCAACGTTTGTGTATGTAATGACGGATTTATAAAGGCTGATGGTGGTTGCCTACCAACATGTGATGAAACTTGTGTGAATGGAGTTTGCTCGGGTCCGAACACCTGTTCCTGTAATGAGGGTTATGTAAAGGACAATAGCAGTTATTCCAGATGTTTCAAACCGTGTAGTGGAGAGTGCAAAGAAGGGTGCGATGAAAACGGGACATGCATAGATTGCAGCGTGCCTACTAGGTATGATTTTCACTTATTTAGTAACTTTAATACATCACTAGTATTCCTTAAAGGCGAAAACACACCCTTTTTATGTTGACATGCCGCGTATTCGAACCAAACAATTTACTTCGTCTGTCTTTAGATCGTTCTTGTAAGCTTTGCATTTTGCTATCTTCGACTTGGCATTTGGCAGAATTAAATTCAAGCATTTGTTATGACCGACAACCGGTGGGGAAAAAAAGGTTCTCGAGTGGCAGCCTCGTACCGGTAGGTGAAGTGTAGGGCGACCCCCCACTAGATGGAGCGACGACCTGGTAAGACATGCAGGAAGTCGATGGATGCAGGTGGCTCAGGACTGTGCTTTGTGGCATACCTTGGGGGAGGCCTATGTTCAGCAGTGGACTTGTGAAGGGCTGTAATGAATGAAAAGAAATTGTTATGGGACAATATAACAAATTAATACACGGTTGATGTAATATCTGCTATTCTTACGAGGAAATGCGGTTGGTCTTTTCTCCAAACAAACGCTCTCGCCTGTTTTTTTCCGGTTTATGATCTTATAGCAAAGACTTTTTGCAGTAAAATAAATATGAACCTCTTCTATGTCCCTATGTTTTCTTTTTGATGATACCTTATCATTATAAGTAGTGACGCAACGAATACGAATACGAATATTCGTATTCGGGGAATAGTAGACATTTACTGAATATTCGTATTAGGCGAATACTAATCACGAATATTTAAAAACTAATATTTTTGCACGTACCTACTAGATGGTACTCAACATATTAGATGTTGAAGTGATTACATGAACAATGCATAGCGAATCATGCATGATGTTTTGTCATCCCTATTAAATTGTCGTCATGAAATCACAGCAAGGCGATGGGCTCTTATGAGCCAAATTATTGATATTCTGGCCAATTTTGAAGAAGCTACTAAAGAGCTAAGCAAAGAATCAACTACTTTATCTCAAGTATTCCCAATAATACGAAGTCTTAAATCTTGCCTCCGATCCATTGGCCTTTTATTTGATGACCATTTTTCATGATTCCATTTTCTAAAAAAAAACGCCTAAAACCAAAAAATTTACAAATTTTATGTTTTTTTAAATAAAAAATTGCCTGTTATAAATTTTATTTATTAGAACAATATAAAATCATCTAATAAATTAGTTTTTCATTACTGTGGCGAGATATTCCTATTCGTATTCGTATTCGCCGAATAGTATTATAAATATACATAATAGTATTTGTAAAAGTAGTATTCGTTGTATCACTAGTTATAAGCAATAGAACCCTTACAAAATGCTCTAAATTACCTATTTAGACCGCTGTCAACAGGGGCCTAGTGTTCAAATTTGTTAACTAACACTGAAAAAAGAAAAACATAGCCACACAGTGTATATCCTTCTTATTCAGTTATTAAATATATTTTTAATTGATCCAATATTGGAGGAGGATACAGTAGAGATCCAAACCTCTAATTATGCCTTTTTACTTAGGTAATTCAGTCGGATCTGCAGTTGCCCTTATCGCACTCGCGCTCGTAGAGCGACAGCGATAGTTTCTTCAAATACCTAATTTTCAAAACTCTTTCGGCCTACATTTCCTCTTAACCTTTACATTTTTGTATGTTGGCGAACCATTTTTCAGCATACTATAGCCGCAACATGGATAAGTCAGCTTGATCGAGGTAGGGCCGCGCCTGCATAGAATACCATAGTTGATTGACAGTGTATTGCTGTATTTCGTATACTTACCCCTTTTATTAATGACGATGCATTTAATTTATAGTCATCAATGGTGATTATGCATTTGCATTTTGGCTCTTAATTAAGGAAAAGTTTTAGATGCCTATGGTTCACAACATCTGCGTATTATTAGGTGTATTGTGTATTCATTTGTCACCCTTGTAATGTGTAAAGTAAAAACGATGCTCACTGCGTGTGCTAATAAAACGCGTCTCTAGTAATGGAGAAATAGCGGTAAACAGTTATTCAAAAATGTTAATCTTAAGTGTCATAGACTCGCGATAGTGAACGACGTTATCGATGTAATGACATAGACTGTGTCCATCAACCTGCTTAGTGTAATGTGTAAAGACAAGTCTCAAGTTATGCTGTCGCTTTGCACATTGTTAGGCAAAATACAAAAACTTTAATTACTGATCTTGGATACAATATTTTAATAGAACCGCAGACAAAATGTGTACTAAAATGAAATGAAATATATTGACTACAATCGTTTTAAAGTAAGGTCACCGAAGACGAAATGGCCGTATTTTTAAAAGTCAAATAAAATAATAGATGTTTTACAAAACAATACAGACCTATTGGTAACTGAAGCATGCTTTTTGTAAGCTCATAATTTGTCGAAGTAGTCGCTGCAGTGGTTGTAGCACAATGGTCGGCTCGACCGTGGCAGAACCCAAATCTCACAGAATACCAGTATAGTAGCTTAATACTGCTGTTTTTCGTATTGTGGGTCTAAAGAACTATAGACTATTTACTAGAAATTAAATATTCCATCTTAGCCTGCAAGGGTGACAACGCATCCAAATTACGTTTGATAATTAAATATACTTGTAGATGTCTATGGGCCACAGTCCATTTAATATCGAATAGACTGTGTTCGTTTATCACCCTTATTTTATGAAAAAAATCCGTACCACCTCAACCCCCACTACCAGCACAGTTACAGGAATACTACAAAAGCGTGTATGAAGGTCTATTAGTAGATAGCGTATTTAAATACAAGGTTGCTTATTACTATGAAATAATAATAAATCCGTTTTATTTGACAATTGCACAAAAAAGTCCGGGCAAATATCCGCGAAAGCGAACCATCCCAATTTTATCGTGTTTCACCAATCAACAGAGCAATGGACAATCTATTTAACTGTTTTTCTTTATTTTATTTTTTCGGATTTTGCTTTTTGTACTGCAATGCGTTAAGGTCACAAAGAACTAATAGCCGAAAATCGTATTACTAAATAGTGTTTTATAAAATGACTTTTGTCTATAAAAGACTATATCTATGTATGTATACATAAAAGTAAAAGACTATGCCCATCTTAATCTTATTGGTGTTAGTGACGACGGCGTGCTTGAATTCCAATCAAAGTCAACATGCGTATAAAACACAGTTGCTAGTTTATGGGTTTGGTTGTGCAGGAAACAGCCCCATGGTGCCCACAGTTGTGTTTCTAACAGGAATTCCAGGACCTCTTGACTGGGCCGATGCTGCATGCGTCTTAGCCGTAAAGCTGGAAGTATCGATGAAGAACCATGTTAAAAAAGAGATCCTAGCAATGGAATATGTCGTTGGTTTCGATAACATGTAGTGTACTTCAGAAAGTATGTATCATGAATATGTATAGAGGTAGTATGTCAGGGAAAAAGGCTTTTTTGGTCCAAAGACATTTTTGGTCTAGTAGTACCACTCGGGACCCGGACTTAAAACCAGTTATACGGTTTTTTTGACAAGATATTCTCTGTTAGATCTCAGTCAGACATTCCCGAAGGCAGGAATTTGGCCCCGTGTTTCGGAAGGCACATAAAGCTGTTAGTTTACCTGAGCTTTCTCCGGTCGCGTCGGTTTATCGACCCATCGGAATATAATAGTGAGGGAATAGAGAGTGTATTTATACGTGCTCATACACTCTGGCACTATAATCCTGTCCTGCGTAGATGGCTAATCTCCGTTAAGACTGGCCGTCGTGACCGAAATTCGGTCTGCATAACATTATTATTAGATGTACTTCTTTGGTCGAAATACTTCTCTCGATTTTAAACTAAAATAGTAATAATAACAAGACCAGAGATGATAAAAAGTATAGTTACTATAATAAGCAGCGCTGCTAGCGCTAAGATCAAACTTGGTGAACTCGAAGCTAGCTGGAGACTGTGTGAACATTCTAAAGGCCTGGGATGTAACAACAGGTTCGTTTTAAGATGGGTTTCGGGTCGCGAAGTTATTGTAGGCAATGAACTTGCCGATAATCTCGCACGGGAGAGCTCAAAGAGTGCACAATTTGGTCATGAGCCATTTTGTGGAATTTCAAAAAGCCTAGCCCGATTGACCCTTGAAGCTCTTTATCACAATAAATTACTTAAGGTCTGATCTGACACATCAGGCTTAAAACATTCTAAAATCTTAGGATTAAGTAAAAATAAATTGCGCATTTGGGCAAGAGTCCTGACTGGACACTGTTATATTACAAAGCACAAATCTATCCCGGGACTAAACAACTCAAGGATGTGCCAGTTCTGTTCTCTAACGGACGAAACTCTTCTGCACATCCTAACTAATTGCGGACTCTTAATGTGCAAACGTAACACTCATCTGGGAACTATGTACTCCGCCCAGAAGAAGATAAATTGCTCACAGCTAAGCAAGTCCTTTTATTCATAGAAGACATAGGGCTTTGCAGTGAACTATAGCCATAGTAGCGATCACAAAATAGATCCTTAAGGTCGCAGTGATACTGGTCTCTCTCTCTAGACTTGCATAGCCGCTCCCACATAATAAAAAAAAACTATAATAAGACCAGCTGCGATATGGATCCTACTAAAGAGCATTGCATCTCAATTATTTTCAATTTATAACATACTGGAGCGACGCTGCAGCTATAATATTATGGTGTTAGCACGAACCGGTGAGTCGGCTTGACCGGGGTAGGACCACGCTCTCACAGAATACAAGCGTAAAATAACACCTTAATACTGCTGTATTTCATTCATATGGCGGGGGTAGAGAACCGGAGACCCTTTACTGGAAACGAGGCATTCCATCTTAGCTCCTTAGTCCTTAGGAGTGACAACGCATCTGCATTTTGATTTTTAATCGAGGATAGATCTAGATGGCTATGGGTCATAGCGTTCACTATCATCAGCTGGATTATGTGCTCGTTTGTCACACTTATTCTAACTTAAAAAGGAAACAAGAAGTCCCCATAAAAACAACTGTCAGTTTTAGGACTACAAGTCAGAAAGGAAGACTTCTTAGCTTACACAC